CTCCCTCTCTCTCTCTCTCTCTCTCTCTCTCTCCTCTCTCTCTCTCTCTATCTCTCTCTCTCTCCCTCTCTCTCTCTCTCTCTCTCTCTCTCTCTCTCTCTCTCTCTCTCTCTCTCTCTCTATCTCTCTCTCTCTCTCTCTCTCTCTCTCTCTATCTATCTCTCTCTCTCTCTCTCCCCCTCTCTCTCTCTCTCTCTCTCTCTCTCTCCCTCTCTCTCTCTCTCTCTCTCTCTCTCTCTCTCTCTCTCTCTCTCTCTCTCTCTCTCTCTCTCTCCCTCTCTCTCTCTCTCTCTCTCTCTCTCTCCCTCTCTCTCTCTCTTCTCTCTCTCTCTCTCTCTCTCTCTCTCTCTCTCTCTCTCTCTCTCTCTCTCTCTCTCTCTCTCTCTCTCTCTCTCTCTCTCTCTCTCTCTCTCTCTCTCTCTCTCTCTCTCTCTCTCTCTCTCTCTCTCTCTCTCTCTCTCTCTCTCCATCCATCCATCCACGTTATCATTTATCTGTGTGTCTCTGACTCTTCTTCTCCTCCATGGTACTGTCAACATTGATCACATGCACAGCCATACTATGAAAGTAAAGGTCACAGCCGGCAGCCATCCTGGCCCGATGCTATTGCTAACACGGTGGAGGAATGCATGGCCACTACTGACGACAAGCTGCAAGATTATCGTAGACAAGTTGAAGCGTACCACCAGGAGAGCAAGCAACGTAAGTGGCACTCACGGACAACTTCTAACTCATTGCTTCAGTACTGTGAGCTAGCACATTCATGTAGTTTAGGTGTGCCTTTGTTGACCGCACTGACATGGCTGCTGCATGTAGAAACTAGTCTTTCGGATGCCAACTTGGAGTACTTGACAGGGGCGTCGGAAGGTATTCAACATTGGTGCAGCCATGAATAGGTGGAGGGTGCAGGGTCCTCCCCCGGTAAAATTTTAGGGAAACTTATTATCTTATTGCGTCAAAAGTCATCTGTGCGGCCAAATGCCGCACCGGTTCCGACACTCCTGACAGTCAACTGATTGACTACTGTCACTCTCCCAGGTTAGTACTATGGCCAATCGCGAGGTTGAATGGCAACTGACCTTGGTTGGCGGAACACGTGTGCTTTACCTCATAATGTGGTGTATGGGGTGTGCGTGCATGCGTGCATGGTGATTTTGTTGTTCTCGTTCAACACAGAGTTTGAGGGTCAAATCGTGGAGGTTTTCAGCAGCACGCATGCTCTTCTCCGCATTGTGATGGAAGCACACCACGATAAGGAGATACTGAAGCGCCAAGAGAAGGTTGAAGCCGTGCGGACGTCCTTTTCCAGTGCAGTCAAGGGTCTCGGTTTCACACAGGTAGGATTCGAACACCATTCATTGCGCAACACACAACACAGCCGACCGAGTCAACCGATGCCGGCACTGGGAAATTATCGAAAGTGCCAGCCTTATCTGATTGCCAAGGCATCCACGGAATCAGCCGTACGAGTGCAAAGTCATGGATTAATGTAACGGCAGTGGACCAGAATATATCTGCCTCTTCAGAAATCTCGTGTAACAATTTCTATGGAGAGTGTGAGGGGGGGGGGCATAGATCCTCCTTCAGGCCCTCCCTATTCTTCGCAAGCCGCAAAAAGATGATTTTGCTCACTCAGAATGCTGAATAGATGTAGTCTTGACCAGCATCTGTGAGATAGCAAAGCTGCCGGGAGCAGTGTCAAAAGAAAGCGGAACACTATCAGATGCTGCGCTACTTGTTATTCCCTCTCTCCCTCCTTCCCTCGCCCTCCCCTCGCCCTCCCCCTCCCCCTCCCCTCCCTCTACTCGAACCATTATCTCTAAGCGAATTCACGTCTGGCCTCACTACAACTGCAGGAGAAACAAGGCACAACATCGGCCGTGACTAATTGCCAAGTTGTCAGGGGGGGGGGGGGAGGGGAGGGAGGGAGAGAGGGAGCACAGCTGCTGACTATGGATGAAGTGGCATCAGTTACCAGTCAATCCGTAACGTTTTTTTCAACAGGACGTGCTTGCTAGTACCTCAAAAGTTTAGTGTGCACTGTACATTGATGTAGGTCATTCGTTGCATTCGTTGCATTCGTTGCATTGTTCACTAACTCGTCTTGTTGTTTAATCATGTTTCGGCATAGGCCCAGCTGCAGGAGAAGGTCACACCTGACCTATGTGAGGAATCCAAGGAGCCGATCCTCCTGCAAATCCATGGCGAGGAGCAGGAATTCTTCCAGCAAACCAAGGACAAGTTGGAGAGCTACCCCAGAGCAATACAGGTCAGTACTATCGATCTGCCGTCAGCCGCCGACATCTCCTTTTCCACTCCTCTGCTTCCTCTTTGAAAACAATGTAGAGTTTGGAAAATGAAAATTATGATAATTATGAGCCGTCAGATGCGAAAACAGACTTTATGGGTCAATTTTTCAAAACTGTGTTTTTTCTTGATTTTTGATAGCTTTGGATGTTAAAAACATCTGCAAACGACAGCAGTGCTGCTAACCTTCCGTATTTTTCCATAGTTGTATAGAAATTCACTCCTTTGTCCGCAGTACGGAAATTGACTGAAATTGTACGGAGAACTGAGAAGTATGGTTGGTTGGTTGGTTGGTTTTATTATTTCAGTTCGTTGCCTCAACAGTACAAAGTACAAATATCAAGAGGGACGAACGAAAAGAGAAAATAAAACTAGCGTTGAAACGATCTCACCGGGTACTCGTTAGCTCGCTCGCCAGAAACTCGGCTCGTTTGTGCGGCCAGCTCGTTTGCACTAACGAACACCGTACACCGTAATCCGTACACATCGCAGTACAAGTCGAGCGGGGAGTTGGAATTTTTTTACGACTCCCTGGTCAATCGAGAGTCCAGTCCCGCGCAAAGTGAAAATCACTCGCAGTTACAGTGACTGCATGCTGCCTGCACGACACTGAGTTGTTTCAGTTGTCGGTGCAGCTTTGGTGGACTCCACTGATGTCTTGTTCCGCATCTGCTGACCTGCTGCAGGACAAAGTTCTGTCAACTCTCGATTCGAGTGAAAGTAATTAGTTACGCTCAGTCGTTTGGAAGTTTTCTCCCGCGATGCAGCGAAGAACAGGGCTACAGTCTTTGCAAAACGGTCTATTCTTACAAAGGCTGCTCAATGACAGCGCTGAAAAGACATCTCGACACCAAACAGCAGTCCGAAGTGAAGCAGCAGCAACCCCAAACGCCGGCGATGATAATTTGGACCAGCTGAATTGAAAAACATCGAACTTAGAGGAAACAAATATTAAAAAATCATTATTTGCCACATGTGATAGAGTGGTCCCATGGTAACAGGACTTGGCCAAGCATGCGCATGCTCCAAAGTTGTTGCGCAATGATGTAGTGCCTGTTGTTGTGTTGAGCCCGATTTTGATGGCGGCTGGTATGTAGTCTTTTCCTTTTTGTACTTCCCGTTTCATGTTTGTTCAGTCCTAATAATTATAATATTCCCGTCCTATCCGGTTGTGTTGCTGTGGAGTCCGGGAGGAGAGTTTTCAGTCACAAGTGGTGCCGAAACCCGTTTGCTGAACCTAGTCTTATTCGTTTTTTCTGACAGTGTTTTTGGTCGACGGCCTGTATAGTGATGGCGTCGGGTCCTCGCGTGGACAATTTGCTGCGACCTTTTCGGGGGCGCGATGATAATCTGGATGAATTCTGGCAGAAGTTCCAGGTGGTGGCAGGCATCCAGAAGCTTGAGTCGTCAGAAGCCCGGATGGCCGTACTCCCATTGTATTTGTCGGGTGATGCATTCACTGTTTGGTGTGAGATGGCCAGTGATGATCAGAAGGACGAGGCCAAGGTAAAGCAGCGGCTCGTGGAGTCATTTTCAGTCACCCCTGCCGATGCCTACCACCAGTTTGTCAAGCGGAGGAAGCGAGCGGACGAAACTGTCGACGCCTACTTGGCGGATCTTCGGCGGCTGCAACGGCTAAGTGGACACAAGGAGGCAGCGGACGGCAAGGACCCGATCCTCTTGGAGCAGTTCCTGGTGGGGCTTCCGCCTCACTTCGCCGTGCAGCTTCGTTTGAATGCAGCCTCTCAACCTGCTGGGGCTACGGTAAGCTCAGTTGCAGCCCAGGCCCGTGCCCTTTGTGCTGCGGGCAGCTTAGTCAAGGAACCCGTTGCTGCTCTGGCAGCCAGCCCTGCTCGACGACCCAGTGGCAGTTCCACCCCTAGTCGCCTCTGCTATGAGTGTCATCAGACTGGGCATTTGCGGCGCGATTGCCCGAACCGGCAGAGACGTCCTCCTGTTTGCTTTCATTGTCAGCAGCCCGGCCATGTCAAGCGTCAGTGCCCTCAGCTGAAGTCTAGTGGTGGTGCCAGTTCTTCTCAGACGCCCACTAGTACCGCCTGTGCTGCGGGCTCTGGCTCGTCGACCACGGGCAATGCCTGCCTCAGTGTCGTGGCAAGTCCCTGTTCGTCGCTGCCCAGGATTCATGTCTATAGTGAGGGCCAGGCCAGGCTGCGTGCTGCCGTGGATTCCTGCTCTAGTAAGTCCTTGATCAGCTATCGCGTTGTCTCCGAGTTGGGTGTACCCGTTCAGCTCGTAGAGTCCAACCCGCGCATTACCGCCATCGATGGGCAGGAAGTTGTGGTGTCTGGGCAAGTCCGGTTGACTGTTCATCGTGACGATGACAAAGTGCACCTGCCTGAAGTTACTGCTGATTTCCTCGTTGTCGACACCTTGGATGTGGTTGACGCTGATATCCTTCTGGGACTGGACATTATCTCCTCCGTGGGTGGCGTGCACCTTGGTTATGCCCCCGATGGTGTCCTCGCAACCGTATGGTTTGGTCGCCCGCGTGATCCGTCAACTGCATCCGATACCACGTCCGAGTCTGACAACCCGGAGAGCTCCGCTAAGTTGCCACGCGATGTCTCTGTGTCACGAGATGGGCCGAATGTCACCCTGTCCATGGGTGATGCTGAGGTCGCCTTCGACGCCGAGCGTGGTTTTTGGGAAGTCCAATGGCGTTGGTCGGCAGGCGCACCACCGCAAGCCCCTATTGGCTCTGGTATTGGCGAATACTCCCGCCAGAAGTTGTCACCGGAGCAGGAGGCCAAGTTCCAGGCCGAGATTGACCTTTGGCTGGCGGAGGGATGGCTTGTACCGTATGATGCTGATCGACATGGTCCACCAGGCGCTGTACTGCCACTGTTGGCTGTGTGTCAGGAACATAAGCCTACCACACCCGTGCGTCCGTGTTTGGACTACCGTGCGCTGAACGTTCGGATCATCTCCAGCCCTGGTCGGGAGGCACCCGCGTGCCCTGAGAAGCTTCGCGAGTGGCGGCAACGGAAAGGCGCGTCCAAGATTGTCGACATCCGTAAGGCCTTCCTGAATGTTCGCATCCACCCAACCCAGCAGCGGTTCCAGATGGTCGTTTGGCAAGGACGACAGTACGTGATGGAGCGCATGGGCTTTGGCCTTGCCATTGCGCCGAAAGTCTTGGACACTATTGTGAAATGGGTGACCCGTGACTTCACCGACACCGATAATTACATTGATGACATCATCACGCCGACAGATCAGGCGGAGGCCCTTGCGGACGCGCTGACCGCCCATGGATTGCCTACGAAACCTGCTGTGGACGTTGATGCGACTCGCGTCCTTGGTCTGCAGACGCACGATGGCCAGTGGGAGCGACGCGAGCCACTGCAACCCCCTCCTACCCAGATGACTAAGCGGAATGTATTCCAGTGGTGTGGTCAACTGACTGGTCATTATCCGGTCTGTGGCTATCTGCGCCCTTTGGCTAGCTGGCTGAAGCGCTTGGCGTCTGCAACAACGGATGCCTGGGATGCAGCTGTCCCCCAGGAGTTGTGCGACCTTTGCCACGATGCGGCAAAGCGTGTGGAGGGCGACGACCCTGTTCATGGAGCCTGGACTGCGGACGATCCCCAAGACTGGCGTGTTTGGTGCGACGCCTCCAGCATTGCCTACGGTGTCGTGCTCGAAGCTGATGGTACTGTACTCGAAGACCAGTCGTGGCTCCGCGGTGCCACCGATAAACGCCACATCAACGTCGCCGAGCTAGATGCCGTGGTAAAGGGCCTCACTCTCGCGTCGTCTTGGCGTATCCCGAAGTTGTGCATCATGACCGACTCCCAGACGGTGCATGGGTGGCTGCGTTCTCTGTTCGACAACATCAAGCGGGTTCACGTCAGTGGGTTGCACGAAGTCCTCGTGCAACGCCGGCTGCAGGTTATTCTCGATATCGTCGACTCGTCCGGCATGAGTGTTGACGTGGTCTGGGTACCCACACAGCAAAACATTGCTGATCAGCTCACACGTGTCCCACCGCCGTTCCTCCGCTTTGCCCGCCAGACTGCGAAGATGTCTGGCCCGATTGGTGATGCCGATGTCGTTGGCGCCGCTGTCGCTGATGATGCCGCCTGGCGTGTCCTAACCCTGGGCGAGATTGCCGCGGCGCAGCAGCAGGACGAGGTGATTCCGGTTGTCGTCGAGGACCTTGTGGCCGGCCATGCTGTCCGTTCGCCGGCATTCCAGCGTGTTCAGCAGCAATTGACCGTCGTGGATGGCGTGCTGATGCGGAGCGTCAAGCTACCCCCTAACGAGGTCATGTCAGTACCAGTCGTGCCGAATGACATCGAAGAGTTCGTTCTTCGGGGTGCCCATCAACAGACTGGCCACGCCTCCTGGGAGGTCATGTGGCGGTTTCTCCGGGGTGTCTGTTACTTCCCCAACATGGCCGAGAAGTGTCAGGACTTCATCCGCCGCTGTCCCCCCTGTACGGCTGCAAACCCTCGTGGTGGCCCCGGTGTGCCACCGACACGACCTGTCTCCGCCAACGGTCCCTGGAGTGTTGTCTCCATCGATACCTTGGAGCTTGGTGTCAGCCGTTCTGGTTACCGCTACGTACTCGTCTGCATCGACCATTTTACCAAGTGGGTCGAAGTTGTCCCGATGAAGCGCCACTGTTCGGCGGAGGTCGCTGCTGCCATGGTCTCTATCTGCTCACGATGGGGCGCGCCTGAGGTTGTGCGTAGCGATAATGGCACTGAGTTCGTCAATGCCATTGTGTCAGCCCTGTTCAAGTCCTTTGGCGTCACGGTCCAGCGGGGCGCTGTTCGACATCCCCAGTCACAAGGTTCTGTGGAACGTTTCAACCGGACGCTGTTGACGATCATCCGCAAGACGCTCGAGGATGATGACGACTGGGAGACTGCCCTCGAGCTTCTGTTGTTCCACTACCGTTCTCGCCCGCACACCGCTACGAAGATTAGCCCGATG